CGCGTACAGATGCCACAACTAAATACTTTCTCGATTGAAAAAAAAAATAACAGTCGCAAGCTTATCCTCCTAATGCGTAAGCAAGTTTACGTCATAGAGAAATAAGCTTATTAACTTTTCTAATCAATTTGTTTACAAATTATATAATGAACAATAACTAACAGCTCCTATGCTGCAAGAACTGGTAGCAGTTCCCGTTCTTTTGAAAAGAACTGGTGACCAGTTCCCGTTCTTTTGAAAAGAACTGGTGACCAGTTCCCGTTCAAAAGAACGGAACTGGAACTGTCCTACCCCTAATCATAATGAATGAGTCAAATTGGTTGAATTAATTTATAAAGTGATTCTGTTGTTTTCACCTAGGAATTTCATTGATACATGAGTGATAGTTCATTGGTCTTTTCTTTCGTAAGACGAGAAACAATAAGGTGATCAATGACATCATGGTCAGTTTCGATCAAAAAGATCATTTCCGCAATGATTCTTTCTTTTATTTCTTCACTTCTTCTGAAAGTGATATTGCCCATGTTGCAAAAATCGCCAAATATCACAACTTCGGTGATTTAATCGCGGTTCATTAGTTGGCTTTTTCTAAAACTGGGTACATCGACAATTTCATCAGAAATAACATGAAGTCATGCATGGTTTCACTCCAATTCCTTCATGAAGTCCTGTGAAGGAGGAATTTTCGAATGAATCTTTAATTAGTGTAAGAATGAAGACGCTCGGTCGTTAGATCTTTATTCATATTCGAATTCGATGTGATAAATGAACGTTTATTAAAAATAACAACAAGAAAAATCACAAAAAAAATTAAAAAACAATGTTTTTAATTGTTCATGGTTAATGGCCGAAATATTTTGAATATATTTTGTCCATAGCTTCAATTTCTGCTAATTGAAATCCAGATAACATGTCTTATTGTCTCAACAAAGACGTTAGTCTTGCATCGTTTGTTCGGTAACTATGTTCGATGAAATCGGTGATAATTGAGTGTTGCTCGAAATTGCGCTTTTCCTTTTCAATTAATAAAGCCAGGAAGATTTCATAACTAATATTTTCACTAGAACTTATTGAAAATAATAAATTTCGTAATGAATTGAATGTGTGTTCATCGAATTCGTTGTTCATTTTATGTACGTGTGCGTAAAAGTCAGCAGACGTCATATCATTTTTATTCAATGAAAATAATGATTTTAACATATTTACATTATAATAGTATAATGGAACGTTAATGTTTGACATTTCTTGGAAAATATTCCTTTTCAAAGGAGAGAAAATTTCCGAAATAATATTAGCACGTTTTGTATTGACTTCTTGTTGCTGAAGAACAGTCATTTGTTTTTTTAAATCGATAATGTCACTCTTCAATGTAGAAATGTGTTCATTAAACGAATTAATAATTTTCATGATTAAATCACGTACAGTATTGATGATCATTTCGATACTTTTCTTTTCTAATTCCGATAAGTTGTTGATTCGCGTACATCTTAGATAGATTTCGTCGAGCAATTGGTACACTTCATTCATTGTATCATTTCCAATCGATGCTGCTTGTGCTGCAGTTGTTTGACTATCACTTGTTGGTATAGTTATTATGAAATTATCTTCATTTAAGTTATTTAAAAAATTTCTGAAACCTTCCGGTATCACTTCAGGTAAAATCTCAATGAATTTTTCTTTGAGATTAATAATCATAATAATACGAATTAAAATGAAAAAGATCAATCTTAAATCTAAAAAAGTGAATTACAAAAACGCATGAAAACCTAATAAATGAACTCCAACATGATAGAGCAAGGTTAAATTTGAAAAGCAAAAACAAATGAAATATTGCAGTTTAGTGTAATCGCACAAGAACAATGCAAGAAAAATAAATTATGCCGTCGGATAATATATACTACGGCATTCTGCTCGTCGTTTTTGTACTCTTTCTTGTGAGGGGTGAGGGTGAAGAGCGAAAAGAAAAAGAAGTCAGCTTTCAGCGGTACATTTATCTAAACTGATGTATTATATTTCAAAATTAAAAAGAACATGGAGTAAAAGTCTGCGTGTTTTATCTTCCGCACTAAATGTGTTCAAAACTTAAGGTAAAACCCTCGAAACACTATTGTTTGACCCATTGAAAGTGACGAGCAATATAAACTTAGCGTCTATGATTATTTCCATAAACTTAATTTTCCAAATATGATTATGAGAAATGCAGAATAATAGAGAAAAAGAAACAGATACCGTAAAGTTAACTAACTGATAGTTACCGTTGTTTTAACGGTAACTCTGTTTTCAGTTACCGTTATTCTAACGGTAACTCGAAAGGCAGTTATCGTTGGTTTAACGCTAACTGAAAACACAGTGACCATTAAAACAACGGTAACTGTTTTTCTAGTTATCGTTGTCCATAACGGCCGAAGAAGTAACGGGAACTTTTACAGTCCTAGTCTGTCGGTCCCGAGAAAGCTTTTTTTCAAAAAGCTTTTTTACCAAAATGTTCGCTATCTTCTCCGCTTTCCACTGGTATAGTTTTCATAGCTTTAAACTTCCTTGACACATCTAAGTTGGTTTTCTCGCGAAGGCTCTCTTAATTATCAACGCAAATTTGTATGAAACTTACACCCCTTTTTATTTTTTAATATAAGTTATCTAAGTTACTTTCCAGTACTTTTCTCAGTGATAGATGTAAATAAGAGTGAAAGAAATCTTTGTTATACAGTGATAAACTGGAGTTTTTTTGTTGTTTCTAGGTTGATTTGTATGATACATCCGGATTTGGCATTGATTTTAGAGGTGTTGAAGGTGTTGAAGTATGTGACGACAACTATTTAACAAGATTATCCCGTCATTATCCCGTGAAGAAAGGTGCTGTGTCACTGTTTACTCAACCATCACGACAATATTCAACAATAAAAGAAAAATAGTAAATAATTTTCATAATGTTTTGTTAAAACATTTTCTATCGCAATGAGTACTTGAAATGATTACGAGTGACAGAAGAGCGACGACTTATGTGAAGACGAGAGGCACAGTCATACAAGTCGACATATTCTAGAAAAATTCATTTGTTTGTTATAATTATAGTAATGTCCTAGTGTTGAATGTACTACGTTTTTTCCTAAACGATAGATTATAATCTTATTTGTTTAACATGCTTTTCGATGTTTAGTTCCCCACTATCACCTGGAACGATTGTGACGGTGAAATCTTTTTTATACAAAGATGACAAAGTAACTCGTCGTGGTACCGTTTTGTCATCACTTACTTTTAATACGATGAAAGATGCCTACATTTATATTGTGCCGGTCACATCAATACATCCAAAGCGGGAAAATACGTCATTATTTCAAAAATCCATTGTCCCAGAAAATACTGAAAGCGGTGGTATTAATGTTCCAAGTTTGATACTGTTCGATCGTGGCGCCTTCATACATCATGACTTTATTTTTCGTGTTCGCGGAAAATTGAATTATGAAACTACCGAATTGGTTTTGGACGAATGGAGACAAATTCTTCAGGGTCTTTTTTTTCGTTAAGTGTGATTTTCGTTGTTTTGTGATGTGTTAACCGTAGTAATAAAGTATTAAAACTACTGGTTTTTAGTCTGATAAGCCTAAAATAACAGCATACAGGTTGATATGGCCTTTAAATCATGGCGTTTTGAAAAGCATTTGGATAAACATTTATAACATAAGTAGATAATTCCTCAGTAAACTCGACAAATGGAATCAGGTTTCTAGTTTATCTTTTCTAGCGCTGACGTTACTTATTGCGTTTGCAAGTGTACTGTACAAATATCGAAATATTTGTGGAAGGGGAGCACAATAATTGCTCAGATACCCAGGTCAAACGGGACGGTGCGTAAACGGACGGTTTACGGTCATCTAAAAAACGGCTCGTTAACGGTGTGAAAACGGCGTAGTCTTTTTTTTCGTTTTTTTGTGATGTGTTAACCGTAGTAATAAAGTGTTAAAACTACTGATTTTTAGTCTGATAAGCCTAAAATAACAGCATACAGGTTGATATGGCCTTTAAATCATGGCGTTTTGAAAAGCATTTGGATAAACATTTATAACGTTTATACGTCAGCGCACGGTCTAAAAGCGGACCGTTTATTGGTGTGACTGAGTGAAGTATATGTTCTATATCGTAAACCGACCGTGTTTAGGCCGTTTTGACGACAAGTCATTCACCTCTTTTATTTCGCTTCCACTACTAATATATATACTACTGAAGAAAATCAGTGCTCAATTTTCCATTTATAAATGGAACGCTGATTTTCTTCGAATATATATATACATAGAAAAATTCTAAGTTATAGATGAAGCTATAACTTAGAATTTTTCTCTTTCTCTACGATATAAGTCATCGAAACTTGTCTGGAGGGAGTAGTCTTAGTGCATGGGCGTGTACTAGTGATAGTACCATACTCCTGAGACTAGTAAGTCATGGTTCAAAGGA